TAAATATTTATCAATTGGTAGAATATAACTATATTGACTATGTATCTTTAAAAGTAAATTTTAATTCATTTTCATTACATGTTAATCAATGCATAACAATTGATTCTTTTAGCAAATTAGGCTAACAATTGTTGTTTAAATATTTATCAATTGGTAAACATTCAGTTTACCAAAATACATACAAACACGCTATAATGACAATAAATATGACTTTCTTAGTTGCGAAATGTTGAGGAAAATACATAAATATGAATTCTAGAATTAATGTAAAGCAAAATTTGGACAAAATATTGTATATTTTGAGCGTATATTTACGTCAAGTAAACGTAATATTTTAAATATTTTTATAAGAATTTGAGAGATGTCTACTTTTTAAAAAATTCCGACGAATTAATGTATTACATGAACATAAACTTATGTGTTATATTGTCATAAACTAATAAATTACATTAATTCATGAATTCGCGTGAAATACACACTCTTTTATGCCGAATAAAGAGATAAGAATTTTATATTAAGCCAGACTTTCGTTTTAAAATATATTAACTTTTGTGTCTAATATTTATCANTATGCCATATGAAACTAGTGATTTTTATTATCTATGTAAATAATGTATGAAGTACTACATAGAAAAGTTTTTACTTTTAATTTATATGAAATTTCAGAAACTTTACATTCTATGAGTTCAAGCCTTGAACTTCGTACTGTTTTTATTGGCATTCATTTCATTACATCACATCATTATCGGTTACTCAAGTAAAAAAATTAAATTTATCTTTAAATAATTGTACTGCTTATTAAATAAAAATCGTAAATTTTAAATTATAAAAAACCAGCAATTACCATTAAACCAGCAATAATTGTCGTCTAAACAAACGTTTTCTTCCATTTTAAATGGTCACCATCACCGTACTTTAATATATGTGTAGATTAATAATCACTAATGACACATATTTATAAGTTGTAACTATTCTTATTACAAAGAATAAAATTGTTAAACGAAAATGATTATCTTAGCTTCTAAATGTTTCAGTAGTAATTTGTAAAAGTAAGAAAAGTTCCTTAAAATTAATGAGTTTGATATCAGCAGTAACTGCTCCTAATTGCAATCTCGAGTGAACTTCACCCAGAATTCAATGCTAAAACATTGACATGACAAATAATAAAATTTACAAGTTTTTTTTTTTTAATTCCATGTTTATTTTTTTAAACAGCAAAAATGGTTTTAAAGAAGACTGATAGTATAGAAAGTAAAACAAATTCTAACAGACCTTAAAATTCAAATACAGAAGATAATTATCAGAATATTAATGAAGCATATTAAATCACCAAATAAATATGGTATTTTTGCTGAAACCTGAATATTAGTATGTTTCTACACACAAATAACTCCACAAATCTGATTTCTGATTAAAGTCTAATGATCTGAGAAATTATCAGTCTATAATAAAGCTAAGGTAATATTCAGATACAAAGTAATTTGTCTATAGGTGTTCAGTTAGGCTTCATCTGTAATAATTTTAATTTAGAATTAGGAAGAAAAGAATTGGCCCAGAGCAGGACTTGAACCCAGAACTTCTGATATTGTAGGGTTTGAGCATGTTTCAGTTTTGAGTCCTGTTCTGGGCTGATTATTTTCTTCCAGAAATTTTAAATTCGAATTAATTTATCATGATTTTTAAAATTATTATGAGATGGCAGCCTAACTGTCTACCTCTAGACAAATTACTTTGTATCTAATTATTGACTTAGAGACAGAGAATCTACAGTAGATTCTCTGGCATTAGTATGTTTATGTTACTGGTTGTTATGAAAGCCAAATCTTGATAATGGTGCCAAGATTATAACTATAATTTGAATATTAGTATTTCTAATGTTCATGAAATGAATTTGGTTTTACTAAGATTTAGAAACATAGACAACTAAGTAGTAAGTAGTTGTAGTTTTTATGTTTGTTTTGATTTTGGATTGTTTCTTGGTATTAAAAGCAAGCCAAAAACAACATAAACATTAGAAAAGTAATGAACTTTTAAGACAAAATATTAGTTAATTCTATTGTAAATTCTTCAACATAATATATAAATTGCAAACTTTGAAAAAGATTCATGTCTGTTGCTACTTTTTGGAGATAATTACATCAACAAAATTTATACTAAATCACCATATAGATAATGTATTATGCTACTTAATACTCAATTTCAAACAAGTATATAAATGTTGTTAACCATATCAGAAACCATAACATAGGTTTGAACAAGATAAGTCTGAATTACTGCTTAAAGCATATATTAGGCAACTTACAAGATTCAAGCAATTTTAAATTATTTATTGCAACATTCAAATTCTACAAAATGTAGTAATTAATTTAAAATGGTATCACTCATTCATTGAAGTGATTTGAGAAAGCATTTGTTTAATATCTTGTACAAAAAATAATAAGCTGCAGTTTTCTTCATTGAGAACATTTCAACTCAACTGCCACAGCTGAGTTGAAATTTACTTCTGTGACTTATCAGTTGTCTATAGAACTGCTACACTATTTCTCTGCAGTGGTAATATAGCATATATAAAACAGCCACTGCATAGTGTGAATCTGCCTTTACTGTCTTGTGTTTACATAATATCTTATGATATATAAATTTATGCTAAATATTCTCTTTCTGTTTTCCTAGATTATTGCATATTATCTAATTAAAAAAAATAATTGATGTAAGATGAATCAGCAAACATTGTTATTATGGTAGCCTCTTGTTATATCATACATGTTGGGGACAAACAAAATGAGCAATATTAGATGGCACTTTATAACTGATGTATTTATCTATATGTTTTGTCTATTATTGATCCCATGCTAACTTTCTTTTTTGTGGATTTTATTTCATATAGTGGTGGTTTAAATGTCAATGATTGGAATAAGTTAATATCTCTCTGCCAGTATAAATTCAATGACAACCAATGTTTTAAAAATTATTGGCTAAACAGGTTTTATATTTGGAAGACCAAAATAAAAAGCATGATATATTAATGAGCAGTGTAATGAGAGGGCTACTATACAATTACATGAAATTTTCTTATAAATTTTATAGAAATACTACATTTGTAACATTTATTTAGATTTGAGAAAAAGTTAGCACAACGATCTTAGCATAAGAGGCACATAACTAGAATTTCAAGATGGATTAGATTGATGTCATACTTATAAAGGAGCAAATCTGGATCATACTCTTATAAAAAAAAAAAAAAAAGTATCTATTAACTCTATCAACAAATTTAAGATTGAAGTTAATAAATGAGATAGAAATGACTTTCCTAGATTTTTATTATCATAAACTAAAAATTTTAATTTTTAAGTTCTTTGATAATTATACAAAAATACCAGTTATCCAGCCAAAAAATATCTAAGATATATGCTGTAATAAATATAAAAGTTCATGTATTTTAGTAATACATTTTTTATTTAAATTAATTTTTAGTACTTTCAGAGGTATTTGCCTTTATTGTTATTGAAGGTTTGGACAAGTGGAATGAATCAATTTTATAGTATTATGAAATCTTGTGCATGCATCTGACTTTCAATATATTTAATAGCTGTAATTAATTTTTAATTTATAATTCTGTGTTGAGAGTTCATGTTATAATTTACTTTATAAATTATTATGTTTTTTTTAATCAATCATTTAAGTTGTTCTTGTTACATAATTCTAAAAGTTCTATTATCTGAAATTTGATAATTTTGATAACATAACTGAAACATTAAAAGAGTAGAATTTGAATGAGAAAATTATGATAATTTTTTGAAAAAAATACATATGCATAAATATAACATTCTGTTTTAGTTTTGTTAACTCAAGGACAATACAAAATGAAAAGAATAGCACAAAAACTAATGTACTGTACATGTGTATTAAATAGGCATAAATTATAATATTGTGAAAATACAGAGAAATAGCTATAATCTGTATTGTTCTATAATTTATCTTTTATAACAAATAAATTTTATTTTAGTTCTTATGAAAATTACTTTATAATTAATGAATTAAGGCGTAATCAAACTGTCTACATTACTTTCTAATCAGCATAATTTCTGAACAATGATAAAAAAATTACTGTAATCATGAAATCAAAATGAGGAAAAACTTTCAACTTTCTTCAATTTGTTTTATGTTTTTTTATTGTTTTAGTGATGAAGAGGAAACACAAAATATTGAAACATTTTACACAATTTCATTTATAAGTTTCCTCTTTTTGCTTTGTTTTGTTGTTTTTCTTCTGCTTCAAATTTTGAATTGCTTCAATAATAATATAAATAGACTCATTTATACTATATACATTTCATTAATTTAAAATAATGGATAATAGATGAAGTTTTGTTTTAAAGGCTAACTCATGTTTTATAAGAACAGAAACAGTTATGAAAATGATACTGAGAAATAATGAATTTTTTTACTCAACTACAATATTTTATTTTTAAACGAAATGTTAAGCTACTTTTATTTGAACAGAACAGAATTTAACATTCAACAAAAATAACTTCTTGTTTGTTATCTGCTAGCTTAAATTAGATTTCCAATAAATAGCACTCATTAGTGTTCAGTTACAACATTAGCCAGTTATAGTAATTGAATAAAGGCAAATAATCAGCTTTATCTATCAGATTTCAAGCCACTAACTATTTTGATAAAATCATTGCCATTTCATATAAATGCCAAAAAAAAAACTAGTTACAAAACCAAATGCTAAAGGTAGATTTTTATTTATCAATTTAAAACTGAGAAAATTTTTACCAAAAAGCAATGATGAAAACAAATTGTATAATATTATTGAATGAAATCCAAAAGTCTTAATTCAAATTTTAGTTTTAATAATTATAGTGATTTATGGTTATTTTTATCTGGTGCTAAATTTGTATACAGAATTATGTTCTAATGATATGCTTATATAACTTATATATACAGTATATATAAATAGAAATTTTAAAAATATTTTTAATAATTTATTCTCAAATCTCTTTTATAGATTAGCAGAATTAAAAAAGCAGGAAGGAAATGTTCTATATAAGGAACAAAGATATAGAGAGGCTCTCAAATTATATAAAGAAGCAATTGGTAAGATTTCTTAATGTTTAAATTTTAAGTTAAAAATAACTGTACAGGTACTCGTCATTTTTGTGATATGATTCATTTAATAAATGTTTTCAGTTATACAATTAAAATATTTTATAAATAGAAAACTTGTTAAAAAATTATTAAGAACAAGCTAAGTATTTCTGTTAATAAAAAACTAATCAAAACAAAATAAAGAAGTTTAAGAAGTAAATTCAGATATCCATTTGTAATTTAAAATTTTAATTTGTTAGTTATTTTGAGAAGTAGGGAGCTCAATATAGGGATAGATAGTACAGGTGGTTTTTGACTTTCAGACATTCAACTTACAGACAACTCACAATTTTGTATGTAGTATTTTGATACCTCTAAATTGCTTTTTGTATTCCAAATTCAGACCTTTCTACATTTTCAGCTGACCAAAAAACATTTGTGTTATTGTGTGGTGGAACTTTCTGCCAGTTTTAGTTTTGATAAATACAAATTATATGTGAGAATTAATTTTTATTATTCCTTTTCTATTTAATTAAATTATGTTTTATGCATTTTAACATTTTTATTATGAGAAAGTAAAATTTTCATACTTTTTAAGATATTTTATAATTTTACTTTTTAACTTAGCAAATGAAACTCTCTATAATACGCAGTTTTATTGTTCGACTTTCAGACATTTTACTTTTGTACATAGTTTTACCCTAGATAACTAATCATTCGTCCACATGACAACGCATCTCCACTCAAAAGTGAAATTCAGAAACTTTCCCGCACTTCCTGTCTCTTTCTACCTTAATAATTTGAATAAACAGTACCATCTGTGATGTAATTAGAAATTGACTTACAGCCATCCCGTAGTCTGCTTGATGAAAGTTCAGTTACTACGTAACTTTGTTACAAAGTCATGTACAGTACATTATGTACATTGTTATGGCTGCAGATGTAAACAGTTAGTTCATGATAAATGCCATTCCCTATTTGGGAAAAGGTGCTGATCCTCAGAAACAAATATTGTCTACATTTTTCATAAAGGAAATAGCATCTTTTTTACATGGAACAAACTGTAACATTACTATGGATAACAGGTTCACATCTGTATCTTTGATGGATGAACTATTGAAGTCACCTTATAATTTGATGTTAGTTGGCACTCTTAGAAGTAACGAAAGTGAAATTCCTGAAAAATTAAAAAATTTTAAATCACGCGCTATTGGTACTTCAATATTTTGTTACGACAGCAATAAGACATTAGTTTCATACAAAGCCAAGTCAAATAAAGTTGTTTATGTTTTGTCACCTATTCATGATCAACTTAACATCGATAAAAATACAGGAAAACCACAAATAATGCATTTTTTAATAGTACAAGAGGTGCAGTAGACACAGTAGATCGAATGTGTTCAAATATGAGACAAAATCAATAAGTGGCCACTATGCGTATGTTATAATATGCTAAACCTGTTGGCAATAAACAGCTATGCTATCTATGTCTCTAATAACATCAGAAACAAAAAAAAACCGATGTCCCGGTGGAATTTCTTTGTGAAGATGGGAGACAAACTCATGGAGTTACCCCAGCTATGACAGCAGTTACAGACAGTGCCTTTGAGGTGTGATATCAGAACCATAATACAAGATATTCTAGGTGATGTGAACAGTGTAAAAGCTCCTACTCATTCTGCATCGAGTCCGTGTAAAATATGCTATTTATGTCCATTGAAAGCTCGACAAATGACAAAACACTGTTGCATGAAATGCAGAAATGTGTTTTGCAGTCCCCATAATGTTAACTTATATAGCAACTGCATGTAATCTTAATTCCTAAATATTTTGTCCTTATTTAATTCCTATTTATCCATACTATTGTGCCATGTAACAAGTTCTTATTTTTATTAAACAATTTTGTTGATATTAACATTTTTTAATGCGTAGCCCACTCGACAAATGTGTAGTTATAATGTAACTAAAATTTAAGTTTAGTTATCTAGGGTTAAGAAAGTTAAAGACTACTTGTATAACTAGAATGCAGGCATGTTTTCAGAATTGCTGTTTTAATTTTTATACTAAAATATGTCATCCAAGTGAAAATGTAATAATCAAGCAAGAAAATAAATTCATTATATATGTGTGAATAAACAAGAATAAATAGTACACTTCTTTATCTAAGAATTAATAAAGCTGAATGATTAAAAACACATAATTAATCTTTGACGTACCAAGACATTTTTTACTCCAGAGCTTCTGAGCAAATCCATTATGACACATCAGTTCTTAACATAACTTATTATAATATATTGACTGCCATAATCATTTAAAATTTTTTTCAATCTCTAGCTTTTAAAATTATATTTCATTAGATTTAAAAACTGCTATATTAATTCTAAAGTATTTTGAATTTTTTATGTTAGGAATAAGTGACCATTATTGTGTACATGTTTAACTTTTACTGAGTCTACAATTACTGATTTTAACATTTAAGTAAATTTACAAAGAATTTTATAGTAATCTACTATTTTATTACAGTAAATAAGAATTTCATTTATCATTTCACGCTTTTCTTATATTTGTTGCTAATACTATACATGAGATTAAAGTCAAGCTGACAGATACACATTAATTATAAACATATACGGGTAATTATCAATTCACAACCATTTCTGAGAGTTTAGTCTAAACTATTTCTGGTAATCTCAAAGTATTGTATCCAATGATAATGGATCGTTTATGCTGCACATTCAAACATTGAACTATAGGTAAATGTATAATAGATTACCATCCAATGTTTTTGTGTTTGGTATGATTTAAAATGTGGAATGTAAGCTTCTTGCCATTAGATACTGAAACTTCAGTATTATTGAAAGTAGTTAAGACTAGTTTTTCTTGTTCTGGGACCTCTTGTCTTACATCAGAAGTAAAATATAATGATAATGGATACAGTTTTGAAGGCCAACTTAACTCTATAATATCATTTCTATATATTTTAATCAGTTACTATGCATACCAACTGTAATATAATACAATGATATGGCTTTCACTTCAAACCAACATTATTTTATTTTATTAACAGAAAGATTCATTTGAATATTGAAAGAAACCAAAAATCATACTGGGAGAGTATTGCAATCTATACAAAATTGATTTTATTTTTATTGTCAATTTTTATTTGTTTAATTTATTAGTAATTCATTTTAACCTCACTATAAAAATTGAAATCAGAATGATAACCTGACCAATTCAGCTCTTCACAAAGTTGGTGTCATTCTTAATTTTTGGGTGATAGTGATATGAACTTAATTTATAAATATTAATAAACTCACCAATTATTGTTATATAGAGTGTTTTTATTATCCATTACAATATTACATTTAATTATTATACCATATTATTAGTAAAACTAATTGTTCTGACTCAAAAATAATTTTAGTATACTAGTTTTGGTCATTTTAAGTACACATATGGTTTCCCTAAGTTAGAGAGTCATTAATCAGGGATTGACTGCAGTATATGATCTTTAGCTGTCCAGTAATTCAATTTTAAAGAGATGAATTATTGAGTAGTTGTTATATTAATATATTAATTTGTTCTTAGTTTCAGTAATTTAATAATTCAAATTTTCAAACTAATTACCCAACTTCACTGCCTGTAACTGGCGTTCTTCTTCTCCAATACAGAGGACTTTGCAAACGTTTTCGAACCTAATGTGGTTCTTCTTCAGGCGCTATGGAATTTCCTATATGAATTCGAATTTCCAGAATTAACTGTTGTTTTGGAAATTTTTTTGGAACGTTGTCACGTGTGACCGATGGTGTCATTGTAGACTTGCGCATTATCCGTATGTTGTTACTTTAGAGTTTTATTGAGGAAGCCATCGGTCACATGTGACAACGTTCCAAAAAATTTTCCAAAACAACGGTTAATTCTGGAAATTCCATAGCGCCTGAAGAAGAACCACATTAGGTTCGAAAACGTTTGCAAAGTCCTCTGTATTGGAGAAGAAGAACGCTGGTTACAGGCAGTGAAGTTGGGTAATTTATCTATTCCGGTGTTAAAATTTCTTATAGTTTTCAAACTAATATTTTGGATTATAAAAACTTTTTAGAAAACTTAATTGATTTTTAAGAAATTAATTCACAAAATATATTTTGACACTATAAAATAATCCAAGCATTTTTAAAAATAAGTTACAAGAAATAATCAAAATATTATCAAACCATTTTTAAATAAAAACTGTGGTATTAACATGAAATATTGATCTTATAGGTGATGCTAAAAACACTTTAGGTAATTCAAATTAATTCAAATCTAACAATCAGACAGTCTGTTACAAAAAAGGAAGTTATACTGCCTATAAATAAATGTTGATGACAATTAATATTAACTTATAGTAATTTTCAAACAGTTTTTTTGAAATATAAATTCTATTAATTTTAATAGTAATTTAGAACTATTGACCTTGACCTTTATTTGCTGATATCACTTACTTTCAATATTAAAAAAGAGAAAGAGAGATCAAATTAAATTTATATTCTGTATTAAATTTAGTAAATTATTATATATATATATATATATTATCTGAAATTTAAGTTTATTGGAATTATGAACTAATTATTTTGTGTTTCAGAATTATGCCCAAATTGTGCTGCCTATTATGGAAATAAGGCAGCTTGTCTTATGATGATGGGTTATTATAGACTTGCATTGGAAGAAATTCAAAAAGCTGTTAAACTGGATCACAATTTTGTGAAGGTAATTATTTCATGATCCAGAATAAACTTATATATTAAAAACTATCTTAAAAAATATATTTAAGTTTTTTTTTTTGTGTAAATTGTTTAGATATATATATATCTAAATAGTTTACAATATCTCTATATATATAAATTTTCTCTAAATAAATTAATACATATGAATGTATTAATTTAAATTCAACTATTAATGTAAATTTTTGTTATAATCTTTAAGTTTAGCAAAAATATAAAAAAGAAATTTTAATTATGTATAATTTTTATGATAAGTATTAATTTGTCATTTGATAATTCTTTTATTAAATTAAGAAATTGAGAGAATATAAAAAAAATTTCATATAGACTTTAAACTTTTGTAAAGAAAGCATTATTTTATATTAAGAAAAATTTTACTTTATAAAAATTAATAGTTCTGATTTGTTCTGACTCTAGGAAAGTGGTTAAAATAATATTTTTATATAATTATTATTGTAATTTCCTGATTTTAATGCAAAACTAAGCAAATAATGATATACAATCCAATCTCAGTATATCTCATGTTATCAGATTTTTATTTTGATTTTTGTACTGTAAGATTTATATTATAATATGAATACATTTTGGTTATAGTTATGTATTCCGAGACCATGTCTTCTTTTATTTGTTTTTTCTTTACTACTAGGTGTATTAATACACAAGACATTATTACATCATTTTTATTCTGAATCTTCTATAGGCCGATATGCATTTTGGGCAAAGGCCCCTCATCCATCAGCTACACAATAAGACATTATAAATTTCTTACATTACAAATGTTTTATCAGAATAAGTTATGACATCCGGGATTTTCTTTGTGTTGTGTTGATACTTATACATTTCATTTAAAACTACATATTTACAGTTAAAATTGTTAAAATATCATTGCAGTTTAAAATATATTTATGAATAAATTTATAAACTCTGGTTTAGGGATATGTCACTTTTCTTTCTTTCAGGTAAGATGGTGTAGGACTATGGGATAAATAAAATCTAATGTATATTAATTTAGTCATATTGTTCAAACAACAGGCTTGAATTACATTTTGGATTGCAGCAACTGTCTGCTTCCTGTCATAAATGTTTTTTTCCCTCCAGCAGTAGTTCTTCAGTTTTTTGGCATATTCATTGGAATTCAAAGTAAACTTATTGTCTTCCCTCTTCTCACTCAGTAATTTGTAAAACTCAATAAAAAACTTTCTCTCATTTTTAACTATTATAACCTCGGTTTTTCTATAGAATCCCACTATCATTCTATTATAAAGTATAATAATAAAGTCACATATGAAAAATATAATATACTGTATTTAGACTGATAGTTTTTATTAAATAAAATGAGTGTTATTAAGGTTATATTTGGATCATAATTAATTTATTTTTTTATTAGGGTTATTTAAGAGAAGCAAAATGTCATATAGCTTTAGGAGATGCAACTGCTGCACTATATTGTCTACAAAGGGTTCAAGAATTAGAACCTAGAAATCCTACATTACCAGCAGAGGTAAATAATTTGAAATTTTTTAAAGTAATTAAAAAGTGTATTACTTATATTTTAATTATAGTCTTGGAAATAAGTAAAACTTGTCATTGTATTTAAATAAAAGGCAACTCAGAGTGCTTAAAATGTTATCTATAAAGTGTCAGTTTGCATGAATATTGCTAGTTTTAAGAATATTTGGTAGAAAGTATTTTGATTGTTAAATATAATGTTGTCCACCATACAAAAATTAACTATTATTTAATAAAAACCTCTAAATATTATCAAATTCACTTAAAAGTTTAGCCCTTTTTTTCAAAAGAAAAATTAGGAATGTCAGATTTATCATCTAACAATAATTATATATTTACACACACACATTAATTTGCAACCAGCATTAATATGTGTAAATTAATAATAATAAACAATGCTTTTAACCCACAACTATAATTTAAATAAGAGTTTGCCTAATAAATAGGATTAAACAATTTGGAGGGCTTATCACACTTTGTTGTGATAAGCCCTCCAAATTGTTAAATCTTAGAGTTAGAAAGCCTAATAAATATCTAAAATGTGTAAATTAATTAATTTCTCCAATTCTGATCTAAAAATAAAACTTATTTTGAAACTTTAACTAAATTTACTTGATAAATTATTTTGCTAAAAAAATAAACTAATAGATCACAAAATGATGCAAATATTTTAAATAAAATAATTTTATAGTTTATAATGTATTATGAGTTATACTATGTTTTTATAAATAAATCCATCATTTGTAAAAATTGTACAATTCTTAGTTACAGAATATTCAAATGGGCAATTACAAAGATAAATTTTTTATGTCATATATTTAAAACTAGCTTACCCATTGCACATTGCTGTGATCTCAGAAGAAAGGAAATTCAAGCAAACTCGTTATGATAAAATTCAATTTACATTTTATCATTTTTATTGAAACTTATTATTATAATATCATTATTATTCATTTTCATCGGGAAAACATTCAAAGTGTCGTTTCAATTCTATTTATTTATTGGAGTGCTTGTGGATACACGATATTTTTTGTTTTTCCGTCTGGTGCGTAGACGAATAAATCAGAAGATTTTCCGACGCGTGAGCCGGCCACATACAGTTGTACTGTACATGCGAGAAGCACGGATTCTCCGAATTTAGCCCATACATTTGCAGCGATTGTCAGAAGTGCGATATTCCCCATTTTTATATATATTTTTTAATCCTTTATAATTTTAATTATTTAATTGCTCTTTCCTCTCTTCTTTGGCATGTTGTGAAATTTCTGATAGTTGGATAATAAACCATTTTATTGTAATTTGTCTTTTTAAATTATTTTGAGTCGATATTAAAATTTGGAAAAGGGGATCCCTAGATCGGTAAAATAGGTGAATTTCCTCCTACAACTTTGATTGTTGTTCGGGATATAGTTAAGGTTTTAACAAAGTTCGAACAAATACATAATTAGCAGAAAAAAAGTTGAAATAAAGTGATTAAACAAAAATTATTACAAATATCGTAAATAACAGTTCACAAATATATATATAGAGATATTTTTTGGAAGGGGGAAATGGTCTTCAAAATTTGAAATTGGTCGAACACAGTAAAATGCTCGTATACACGTGCGCCATCTATCGTAGGATAAATGTGCTATGCCAACCTTTGCAGGAGTGTATTAAAAAACTTTCCAAAGTTTCTTGGCAATCGTACTATCCCAGAAACCTTTGCAGGAGTATATTAAACAACTTCCCAAAGTTTCACGACACACACACACACACACACATTCATTTTTATATATATATATATAGATAAATAAAAATTTAAAGATTAAATGTAATTTATCTGAAAGAAAATATAAATTAGTGTTCTGTATAAAAAAAATATGTAAATGAAATAATGTAACAATGATGCATTTGTTTAATTAATATTACATTTTAATATTTCTGTTAATTACAATAATGATGATATACAGATTTTATTTTAATATAAATTATATTTTACAGTTTAAGAATGTTGAAACTCTTCAGTTTTTTATTCAGGAAGGTGAAAAAGCTTACGAAAAGAAAGATTTCCGTAAGGTATATAATGTTTATTGTATATTATAGGAAAAAAAAAGGCCAAATACTTAATCTGTAGATGAAAGCATAATGTGTATACTGCATTCAAACAATGCTTTTTATCCATTGTAAGAACTATGTTTTATTTAGTATTTGCAGAGTTGATATTTTTAAAGCAATAACAAAAATTAGATATGAATATATTATCATATTGTTTTTAAAAGTATTTAATTTTTTTTGTAACTGTGTTTGTAGATAAAACAATGCCTGTACTTTGACATAAAACTTTAGGTATTATTTTAGTAATATAAATCTTTTTAACTATCCTAATTATTGGTCCTGATATATATATTTAAATATTTATATTTGAAATTTTTATTGTGTGCACAATTATTTTATATTTCTGTATTTGAAGCAGCTGCATCAGTTAAGTTACTTTATTCTTTTTTGCAATAGCTTGATGCCCAGCCTGTTATGATGAATTGCCTTATTGATAAGTATTATTCTGCCCCAGTGTAGTTTGTTTTATTTTCAGAAACATGCATTTTTCATATAATATAGATTAATGTGTAACTTGAGTTTGCATTTTATAGCAAGATAAATGATTATTTTTTTCTATTTGATTGCAATTGTTTTTGTTGTTTTTTAATAATTTTCAGTAAATGAAATTATGAAATTCCAACATTATGAAGTTTGGAAGATATTGTATTAATAATAAATGTGATTTGTTTTTGTCAAATACAAATACGAGGTCTTCCAAATTGATTATAAAATTTAATGTAATTATGTTAATTATTATCCAAGAATGTAGTAATGTACTGTACCTTAAAATGTTGGAAACTGTCCAAGTTTCATATTTGCCATTGCAATTTCTTAATGCATACAAGTTGTGTCATACTGCATGCATCCAACTGATACTCAGATTCTCCCTACACTCACTATGGTATAGCTGTCATCACTCCTCCCACTGCAGCCATGATTCTATGACTTCTACAGATTAATGTTGCACAATAAGTAATACTGGTTTCTTAAACTACAGAATACAAAATGTTTTCTCTATTAGTGTTGCCATCTTTGTTTACAGCACTTCCTAGGGAAAAATGAGATGTTTGAATGCAAATGGGAGGTGAAACTTGGACAGTTACTGGTTTGATTGTTGTGTGTCACATACTTTTTGGATAATAATTAACATAATTTCAGTAATTTAAAATGGAAGCATTCACTTTGGAACACCTATACTGTTAAGCATATGGTTAAGAACATACAGTTTATTTGTACACAGAAAACTTCATAAAGAGGGTACAAATAAACTCTATGTTCTTAACAAATCTATTAATAATTCTATAAAGTTTATATATTCTTTATAAATTTTAAATATTTGTTTGTACACAATAAATTGATGCTGAACAGAAATTCAGTATTGTTATTGAATAGTATAAAAACTACAAAGTTTTCTTCTATACACTTTATAAATTTCACACCTATACAGTTGATTTTTACAGATTATGCAGCTCACTTTTTAGAATTTTTTATTGCTTATGATTTTTCTATAAAATGTTTCTTTAAATATTACAATTTTTTTTACTGTTTAAATCAATACATATGTTTAGTTTATATGTTTGTATGTTTCTTTGTCAATGCTTAGGTTGTTTTTTGTATGGACAGAGCTCTACAGCAAGCTGTTGATTGTACAAAACTTCGGTTAGTAAAAGCAGAATGTTTAGTATTTTTAGGAAGGTACCAAGAAGCTCAAGAAATTGCTAAGTAAGTGATAGTTATAAATTTCAATATAATTTAGCAGGAAACTTAAATGATGGCAACTTAATAAATATATTAAGTTATATTAAATTGATGTTATTAAAGAAAGTGTATTATTTTTGTAAAATTAATCTGCTCCATGAATGCATGCATAATGGGATTAATAATAATAGAAATTACATATATGAGATAGAAGCAGGAAAGAGATGGAAAGGAGAACAAAGATATAGAGAAGTAGAGATGATAGTACATCATATTTTTTTTTTTTTTTTTTTTTTTTTTTTGTTTTTTTTTTTTTTTTTTTTTTTACTCACCGCTCGATACTTTTTCAACTCAGTGGACCGTCGGCGGCCTAGCAATGAGTAGGGAGGATGCAGTCATTAGTGCTAGTACGGTGGCGGCAGCGGGGTAAGAAAGGGGAAGACAGGCGTGCACGAGACTAAATTGAGTAAACGTGCCCACGACACTTCCCCC